CAGAAAAATGGTGCTTGACATATTCATTAATAATCATTTATTTACTAGATTTGCAATTAGCGCCCTAGGTAATACGGTGATTGGCGCTTGTGTAATTTTAATAATTATATATTTACCAGAGTTGCCAGTCAGCGCCCCGGATGATTGGGTAATAGGCGCTTGTGATATTTATTATTAATTATTTATCTAACAGAGTGGCCAGTAAGCACCCCGGGTCATCAGGCGATAGGCGCTTAAGTTATTAATAGTTATTTATTTAACAGGTCGGCCTGTTAGCACCCTGGGTTATTGGGTGATAGGCGCTTGTGTTATTAATAATTATTTTTTTAACAGGTCGGCCAGTAAGCGCCCTGGGTCATTGGGTGATAGGCGCTCGTGTTATTAAAAATTATTTATTTAACAGGTCGGCCTGTAAGCGCCCTGGTTTAGTGGGTGATAGGTGCTTGTGTTATTAATAATTTATCATCTAACAGAGTTGCCAGTAAGTGCCCTGGGTCATACCGTGAGAGGCGCTTGTGCTTTTAATAATTATTCATTGAAATGAGTGGCCAGTAAGCACCCTGGGTCATTGGGTGATTGGCGCTTGTGTTAACAATTAATATTTTATCATATAATAGTGTAGCCAGTTAGTGCTCCGCGTTATTGGGTTATGAGCGCTTGTGCTATTAATTAATATTTTATCATTCCACAGTGTGGCCAGTAAGCACCCCGAGTCATCGGGTGATAGTCACTTGTGTCATTTATATTACAATTTTTAATTTCCGCGCAGCGATGGGATATAGTTCTGGCTAGATATAGGAATTTTCTAGGATTTAACCTCAGGTGTGGGAAATCACTAGATCAAAAAAAAAGAAAATGAAATGAAGGAGAAGCGCGAGATTCAAATAAGCTTCAATAAAATAAGCATCTATCACTCAATGACCCGGGGCGCTTACTGGCCGCTCTGTTAAATAAATAATTTTTAATAACACAAGCACCTATCACCTAACGACCTGTGGCGCTTACTGGCCACTCTTCTAAATAAATGATTATTAATCAATAACACAAGCGCCTATCACCTAATGACCTGGGGCACCTACTAGCCACTCTTTTATATAAATAATGAATAACAAATAACACAAGCGCCTATCACCTGATGACCCTGGGTTCTTACTGGTCACGCTGTTAAATAAATAGTTAATAATAAAAAACGCAAGCATGAATCACTGAATGACCCAGGGCGCTTACTGGCCACTCTGTCGAACAAATAATTATTAATAACACAAGCGCCTATCACTCAGTGACTTGGAGCGCTTACTGGCAACTCTTTTAAATAAATAACTATTTGTAAATAACATAAGCGCCTATTACCTTATGACCCGGGGTGCTTACTGGCAACTCTGTTAAATAAATAATTAATGAAATAACACAAGCGCCTATCACCGTATCACCTGGGGCTCTAATTGCAAATCCAGTAAATAAATAATTATTAATAAATACGTCAAGCACCTTTTTTCTGATGATCCAGGACACTTATTTGCAAAACTATTAAATTATAAAAAGTTAAT